AGGTACATTGTTTAACAAAGAGAAATCAGTAGGATCAACCTCTTTAGAGAACAGTCTCTGATAGGAATCCACTGCAGCATTAGCTATTTGATCATGTTCTTCAACTCAATCCCTATCTTCATTCTGGATCCTCTTCAATTGAAGCTTCTTCCTCTTGTTATTGATATTGTTGTGAAAGAAACTAGTATTTTTATCACCCTCAACAAACCATATCATTCATGTCTTTTGCTTCCAATATTGTTCCTCAATACTCAAATACTTTTTCAATTCTGCTTGAGCCTTTTGGAGAACAATCATGTTTGTTAATAAAAGGTTCCTCCTCAAACAATAGCTCCTTCACATTTACAATATATTCTAGTATTACTAATTGCTTGAAAATGTTTCCATATGTGTCTTTGTTCCATTTGGAGTGCACTTTTAACCTTCTTCAACTTGTGTTTGAACATGAGAAAAGGATCACCTATAAAGTCAGCATGCCAATTCTGCCTCACCACCACTTTGAATGATTCATGCTTGGTCTAGAAGTTCAAAAAACCAGAATGGTTTGACATAATTTGAGGCATGTTGTCCACAGCCTAAGAACAAAGGTGCATGATTAGAGCATGTTCTTATCAAGTGTTCCACTTCAATTGTAGGGAACAAATTTCGAAATGGCAAGTTCACAAATATCATGTCCAATGTTTTGAAAATGCACTCAGTATTAGGTCTACCATTCTGCCAAGTAAAAGGACTCCCCTTGAACCCTAGATCAAACAATCCACTAGAGGTGACACAAAAGAGAAAGTCCTCATATTCTAGATGATGTACTAGCAAGCCATAAATCTTCTCATCTTCATGAAGTATTATATTAAAGTCTCCACCTACCACCCAAGACATCTCCATATCACCCATATCACTTGCAAGGTAATACAAAGTATCCCACAACTCTAATCTCTCAAGTGCAGAACACTTTGCATACACAAAAATCATCATCACATGGTGTCCAATGTCTTGATAAAATATTTTAATTGTCACCTTTGCTCAATATCCATCACAAGTTCCCATTCCATTTACACCAGAATATCAATAAATAATCAAATCTTACTATTAACATTTGATAATGCAGCTTCCATGTTTAGTCTTCTCCTATACCTCTGAATATGTCTTGAATTCTGAAATAGTTCCATCAAAGCAATCACAAAGAATCCATGTTCCCTTTTCACATTGATCACCCTCTGAAAGGCCTATTGAGTTTTCACAGACCTTATGTTCCAAATCAAAGCTTTGATAATCATTTAGATTGTGATACTGCCCTCTTGGGCAAGATTCTTGTAGGTTGAGGTGCATCTTTTGTCTGACCTTTCTTCTTCCCTTTTTAGCACTTGTACCAGTAGCTCTAGGTGATAGGTCTTCCTCTCTTGCCACTGCCTTGAAGTTTCTTGCAATTGATTCATCATTTCCTTCCTTCTCAAGTTGACTTTGTTCTACTACTATGTTTTCAATTTCCTCAAGACTCATATTGTGTGTGATAATATCATACAGAATTTGGTTTGGTGATTTCAATAGCACATTAACTTGAAGTTGCATGTTTTGCTAGTTCCTAAAGTACATGTCATTGGGATTGCCTCAATTGCACCTGAAGCCTTAGGAACAATGGCTTGTTCCATTTGATCATGTGATAACCTGTTCACCTCATTCGACACTATTGCATTCTGTTCCTTGCCGCCTAGTACCTCCTACATCACCTTAAACTGTAAATCATACACTATCCCTAAGCTAGGGTTCGCCGACTGTTTGGTTCTGGGACCTCATTGCATCATGTAAGACCATTATAAGAGCATTATTATTAGGCCAAAAACCTTCACCCTCCATAACTTGATCTGTAACTGAAGCAAAATTCTGGGTGGTATTCCCAAGGTTCATTGTAGCAACAGTTGTAGGAATTACTGTTCCATTGATATTAGAGGTTCTAGCTTCAGTTGATTGGTCTGGCCTCATTGTATCCCCTAAGACCTCAACATTATCATTACCAATCTTATAACCACCTGAAACCTATACCGGATCACCTCTAGAAGTTGCAAAAATCTGAAAAGTTCCACTAGGGTTTACTGTTCCATTGGAGTTCTTCTTCCTAGATTCATCAACAGCTGATCCAACTGTGATTTTATCTCTCATTTATGAACTACAATCAGTTGCATTGCATGTTGCTTTCATGTTCCTTAAATAACTTCAACCCTAGTTTTTTTAGAACTAGGGTTTACCGTAGCACTGTCCTCAATAGTATTAGTTTGTTTTCCCTATGTATTGCTCCTTTTGTCTTTGGTGCTAGCACTTGAATTAGCACCAGAAATATCCTATATATGCTCCACTTCATCACTCCCCAAAGCATTGCCGTTGTTTATTGTTCCAGTGTGCTCTACTACCTTTGTACATCTTGACTCGATTGGTTCATGGTGACCTCTTTAGGAGCCCCAAACCTTATTTGTACCCAATTAACTGTCATTTCCTTACTAGCCTCCACCCTAATCCCTGTAGGAATAGGATTAGAGTTGTCATTCTTTGCCTCTATAGTAATCCTAGTTGTCTTAGGAATGGATCTGGAATTTTGAACATTCTCCAGCTTCTTCTTCTCCTGGTCCTTCTTGGATTCATTCTATTTGTTTCTTCTCATTCTCTCTAACGTTCACTTCTCCCTTGCCATCAGTAAGCATCAAAATTGGTTGTTCAATTTCTTCAACTTCAAATGCATCAAATTTATTTCTTGTAACTACTGCCTCTTCATTGATCTTTCCCTTCAATTTGTTAGCCTATTGTTCCTTCGCATTGTCGATTATATATCCTCTCTTATCCCTTTGGTGTTTATTTTGTCTTATTTGTATCCACTATTGCTTTACATGGTTAGGAATAGGTTTCCCAACCACCTTACCATTTGTGAGAACCTTAGTAGTGTTATCTGCAGCTCCAACAACTTCCTTTCCTTTAGTTTGATCTTCAATAGCTTCATCAAATTTCTTGTATAACTCAGGATGTATCACCCAACAGTCCACTTTATTATGTCCTTGCTTCTTACAAGTATTACAATACTTTGACATGTAATCATACTTTATTTTGATCCACTTAGATTCCTCAGGTCCAGATTCAACTTCTTCCTCTACAATTTTAGTTCTTTGAGGAACCTTTGCTAACAAGTTCACCTCAGCCTTCACCTTGGCACAACTAGGTCTAGTACCATTTTGAGTAGCTAAATCAACTTGTAATGGCTTTCCTACAACACTTGCCAAAGAGAACACAAATTTCTTATCCAAGAAGTTTGGAGGCAATTCTGAAAAACTAATCCATGCAATTGCAATTGAAGTTTCTTCATTAGGCTTCCACCAAGGATTCCACTTCGTACCCTCATCTGCCAAATCTCACCTTGAACTTTCAAATAAAAGGCTGGCTTTGAGAGCAAGTGAGCATAATCTTCCATTAATGAAAGTCTTGATCAAGACATGATTATCTTAAATAAGACCAATCGAACCAACACCTTTGAGTTCACATTGAATAGGGATAGTTTTGCGTAATTCAGTGATCACAGGCTTGCCATACAAAAATTTTCCAAGCACTTCCAGTTGTAAACCTTGTTGCACAATGGATTGCTTAAATTCTGTCTTCTTTCACTTGATTATAGACTCACCATGTAGATACTCGACTATTTTGATAGGGATATTGGCTAGGGTTTGCATAAACACATTTAATGCTTTTGGTTGTGGTAACAGCACATAGTTTTGTAATGGATTAGGGTTTGTACTGGATAGGAGAGCCTGTGGGGAGGTATTTGACAATTGACCAACCTCAGAAGGAGGATGGCCAGTGGCCGGAGAAGCCATGAAAGGCTCGTGATAGTAGCTCCTCAATTCTTTACAAATCACTTGATGCTAGAGACTAGGGTTCCAAGCGGAAAGGATTATCTAATTTTTTGGTCTTTTATGGTCCAAAATATTTAATTTTTTCAGATTTCAAGAATGAATCAATTTTTTTCCTACATTGTCCTTGGAGTAAATAGTGTTGGAGTATGTGTTAGGAGTAATTATTTTCCAATGCAATTGAGATTTTTTGCTGAAAATTTGAAATAGTCTTTGATGCTCACAAAGTTTTCAATGTTCTGCCAGGTACTTCGTCTGCCAGATGCTTCGTTCAATTTTGATGGAGTTTTATACGCCATTTGCTTCGTCTAGATACAATTTGATGTCACTATTAATTTTTTGACTTACGTAAAAAAGGTCTTTGGAAAATAGCATCTATCAGAATTTTGGAAAGTGCTCTTGGCAATCACTAAAATTATTAATACTCTGATCACACGAATTACCACAAGAATATGGGAATCGCCAGAATTTTTCATATGATCATCATCATGAATTACCACAAAACATGACAATCGCGAGAAACTTTATGAGATCACCAGGATTTACAAAAGTATTGCAATCGCCAGAACTTTCATATGGTGATCATCATAATTTGCAAAAATATGGCAATCGCCCAAAAATTCATATGGTAATTACCAAAATTTGCCACAAAAGCATGTCGTCATCATAATACGTGTGCTTCAAAATTTTCGTAGTGATTGCGTCCAAGGGTGTGACCTAGTGGTCAATAAAATTGGTGACCGTGAAATCTCTGGTTCAACTTCCAGCGAAGGTAAAAAATACTAGGTGATTTCTTCCCATATATCCAATGCTTGATGGATAGAGTTACCGAGTACTTATTGCTATTAGGAGGTGGCATGTATCCCGTAAAATTAGTCAAAATACACGCAAGTAGAGATATGTCGTCATTTTTTTGACGAGATCAAAATATAAACGATAATGTTAAAAAGGTCCATCCAGCGTAATTATAACTTTTAAAAGGGTCCTCCAGGGGGCTATTCGTGTACTGGCCAAGTTCCACTATATTTTAGGGCCTTAGTCCAACTTAAGCTAAAAATGGGCCTAAGCCCATCAATTACGAGTTCAAAATCAATAGAAAAACAAACATATTAAAGGTCTGTTTGGCAAAAGAGGTTTTGGAGGAAGAGAACTTTAGAGCTGCCGGTTGATTTTCTCTTTCACTTTCTCTTTCCCTTGGAGAAGAAGTTTTAAGTTTTTCCGCTTCAGATTTCGAAAGAAGCAAGCAATAATGGACGTAATCAAGTCGCAGCAAATATCAGCTCGGCCGATTGAGAAAGTGATAGTACATCCGCTGGTACTTCTGAGCATCGTAGACCACTATAATAGAGTTGCGAGGGACACCAGGAAACGTGTTGTTGGGGTTTTGCTTGGGACTTCTTTCAAAGGCACCGTTGATGTTACCAATAGCTATGCAGGTCTCAGATCTATATATTCACTTTTGCCCTTTTATGGAATTTTAAGTTTTTCAGTTGTGTTTTTTTAATTACAGAAATAAAAGTTTTTTAGGTTTCATATGAGTTAAATTATTAGTAAAAGAAAAGTAAGGGCAAACTATGTGAACTAAATTGTGAAATAACAGTTAGTTTGCCTTTATTTATGGGATTAAGTTTTGCTTGATGGGGTTTATGGTTGTTTTTGTGTGTGGCTCTGTGTCATTTATGTTCTTGCCTTGTATTTGGATGGAATTGACCTGAATAGAGTGAAATTGACGCGAAGATTGTATAGCTTACCTAAACTAGTTAACATTTAACGTAGTTGATTGTTATATTTTTTTTTGTCTCCTGATGGACATAAAAGTTAATTAGTTTAGGTTTTCTTCTGAGCTAAGTTACGGAAAGAAAGTGGGTATTTACTCCAAAAAAGAAAAAGGTAAGAAAAGATCAAAAGAAAAAGGGTAAAGTTCTTGCCGTGAATTAGGTATAAGTATTTGATCGTGCATCCAAGGGTGTGACCTAGTGGACATTGAAGAGGGAGAATATAACTATGAGGTCTCAAATTCAAATACTAACGGAGGCAAAAAAACGCTAGTGATTTTTTCCATCTGCCTAGGCCTTGGTGGTATAGTTACCTAGTGTTTATGCTGGTAGAGGTAGCAGCTACCTAGTGGTAGTAGATGTGTGCAAGCTGGTACACCATCGTAATAATAAAAATAACTGCCTAATCACCGGGAAATTGTAACATGAAATTCAATCTGCCTCCTTATTTTGGGTGAATACATCAAGGAAATAAACTGAACTGGAGCTAAATATAGTTGAGTTGGCCCTAGAGCCAAGAGGCTTTTGTTTGGTGGTCAATGTTGACTTGACGTTTAGATGTATGCTTACAATTTAGAGAAATATATGGTTTTTTGAAGAGCAGATCTGTTTTTCTGTCTGTTGGGAGGTCTTGCCTGGAGCATGGAGCCATGGAAAAGCAATAAGCTTTTTGGTTGTCTAGAATGGGAAAGAGAAGCTAGAAGTAATATAAAGTGGCTTCTTTTTAGTTTTCAATGTTTCATATGAATTATGCTACATTTCTGGAAGGAGGAATTGTTGTATTCTCTGTTCTTATAATTACTTAGATTTGTCGCTTTATTCTTCTTTAGTAGAAGATCATATTTCTGTGTAGGTTCTCTACTCTTTTGGTATACTGCTTGTATACGAGGTTTTTCCCCATCATTAATAAAATTATTACTTCATCAAAAAACTTAGATTTGTCGCTTTATTGTAAAATGTTCTTGCCTCTTTGCTAAGCTTGTCAAGGAAGGACAGAATACTCATGATAAAAGGCTTTTAAAATGTGTGATTAATTGGCTTTATATTGTAAATCTTATTCTAGAAAAGTAAGGAAATTTATGTTGGCTTGGGGAAAGATAGAATACAGCTTATCCTATCAACTCCTCAAAATTATTTTTACTGAAGTGAATGAAAATAAGAAAATTCTAAACATACTTTGGTGACTGATGCTGTTAAGTTGATTGCTGAATTTTGAGGGAAAGACTGGCATCTAGCTTTCCTGTGGAGATACATTATCAGTTAGACGCTATATAAACTCATACTTAGTGAAATGCAGTTATAGCTGTGAAACCAATGCAATATCTTGAGGTTCAAATGAATAACCTTCTTTAGATGGGTTCATTCCGCTGGAATACTTTACCCTTTTCCATGTTTTCTTCTGCCTAAATCAAGAGCTTGGTCCAGCCTTTATCTATTAGACCGTTGTGATTTTACCTAACATCTTTTGTTGTTGCATGCAGTGCCCTTTGAAGAGGATGACAGGGACCCAAGTATCTGGTTTCTTGACCATAACTATCATGAATCAATGTTTTCCATGTTCCGTAGGATAAACGGTATGTTTATTCCGTACGACGTGGTTTTCAGTTCATGATTTTATTTAGAAGTATTATCACCTTTAAGGTTCATACTATTTTTGACTTAAATGTTTCAGCCAAGGAGCATGTTGTCGGCTGGTATAGCACTGGTCCAAAACTTAGGGAAAATGACCTGAACATCCATGGGCTTTTTAATGAGTAAGGACATTACCTTTTTTTTTTCGTTCGGAGATCCTATTTGACCTTTAGTTTTTTTGAGAATTATTTGATCTTTAGTTTGTCAACATGAGAATCTGCCGTGATCGATTATGCCTGGATGCTTTTTTCAAGCTACAAGCTTTACTTATCAAATGAAGCTATTAGAGGGGAACGGGAAACTACAAAAAGAGAAATTGGGGACAGAACTGCTTACAACACAAATGAGGGGTATACCTAAAAAGAAAACAAATTAATAGACTTGCAGGCAAAAAGCCAATGTCACAGGAAATGGTTGAAATGCACAAGTCAAACTAGCTTACCTCCCTGTTGATCTTGTACTAGTCACTTGATTGAACAACTTTCCTTGTTGACTTCCCAACGCCCTTAAGGCAATTTAAATAGCATCTTCATGGATATACAAAACTTTCAGCTCAAAACTTTTTTTTTGGGATAAGGTACTTTCAACTCTAAACAATTTTTAAGTCGAGTTTCATGGAATTAAATTGCCTTGATGGTGCCAAACTCAAAACAACTTTATACATGATTATTTTCTAATAAATTGCTATACTAGATTTGTAAGATAACTTAGTATCGATTTCGATAGTAGTATAACATTGGCAAAAGGCCTTTTGAGCCGAGGATCTCCCGGAAACAACCTCTCTACTCTTTCGGGTAGGGGTAAGGTCTGCGTACACTCTACCCTTCTTATACCCCAAATTTTATTGGGTTGTTGTTGTTGTTGTATAACATTGGCAAAAGAGGTGTTAAGGGTATGTGCGAGTTGTGGCTTGTTCTTTCTCATTTGCTACATTTTAAGGAAGCAACTTATATGCAAAAGTTGGGTAGATGTCTCCAATGGGATATTTTATCTATTGCTAAGAAAGGTTCCCAATATATGAAGGTGGGTATGTGGGGAGTACCATCCCAATTGCTTAAAATTGCTCCTCTTTATTTTTTCAAGAGTGTAAATTTCTTTGACTTGTGGCAACGATGTCTTAAGCATTGTATCTTTTGTGCTATAACCCAAATATGCTGCTTATTAAAAAATCTGGAGAGTTGACAAGACCATCAAAAAAATCTGGTTGATGATCCCTGGTGCTATTTTTTGGTGTTTCTGGAATGAAAGGAATAGAAGATGTTTTGATGGAATCTCAACTCCAAATCACACTCTCAAAGCTATTTGCCTACTCAATCTTTTTTGTTGGACTAAATTAGCTTCTGTAATTAGCACTGACCAATTTTTGAACTTTGTTAGCTCCCTGGTCTTAGATTGACACTGTAAAGGGAGCTACAATTCTTATTTTTTCTTTTTTCTGCATTTCATTACTTTTGTAACTTGCATCTCCTTGATGCCTTTTGCTAATGGAACACCTTATTTCATCAATATGCTGCTTATTATTGCTGGTGTTATTGCAGCTATGTCCCCACTCCAGTCTTGGTTATAATTGACGTCCAGCCCAAGGAGCTAGGAATACCAACTAAGGCATACTATGCAGTTGAGGAAGTTAAAGAGGTAACGACTTAGATTAGCAGTTGATTATTTCAAAAAGCGTTTGGTGCTTGTTGACATTCATAAGCTGGTTGTCCTATGAACTTGATGTGCTGGACGGGTAAATTTGCAGAATGCAACTCAAAAAAGCCAGAAGGTGTTTGTGCATGTACCTTCAGAAATTGCTGCTCATGAAGTTGAAGAAATTGGTACAACTTCAAGCTTGTCTTTTTGTTCTGTAATTTACTATTGTTTTACTTGTAAAATTTTGACTTAAAACTTCTATTCTTTTTCTTGATTTTGTAAGTAGTTTCCCAATCTTCTCCATTGCAAGTGACATTTACATGTTGTATATGCATTAAGAATTTTCTTACCATGTATTCTAATTGACAGGTGTTGAGCACTTGCTAAGGGATGTGAAAGATACTACAATCAGTACTCTTGCAACTGAGGTTTCTTTCTGAACCTTCTTATGACCTTTTTACATTAAAAAAATAGATGATGATAAGTTTGGCTTCTTAACAAGTAGAGGGCAATAAGAACTTTGAACACTTCCAATCCAGGTAACTGGGAAACTGGCAGCTTTGAAGGGATTGGATGCTCGACTTCAAGAGATACGAAGTTATCTAGATCTTGTCATTGATGGGAAGCTTCCTTTGAACCATGAGATTCTATACCATTTGCAGGTTACCATTGCTATAAACTTTCCTTCTCTTTTTCTGACTTCATAGTCAGTCTTTTAGTTGCTGATTTCTATTTTTCTAAAGGTTGTTGATGTTGGTAAGGAATTTTTTTTGTAAAAAGTTTAATGAATTTGTAGGTCTAGTTCAAGCAGCTTTCTCTGTTTTTTAAAATACAGTTTTCACTGCTTAAGGACCTTATTTAAACGAATTAAGCTGCTAGATTTTGGAATATCTTGTCCTTGGCTACAGGTTTTCTTTAAAGAATTTTCTGCATGGCAGTTTGGTTGAACAGACGGTGATTGCTTGTTGCAATCTTCCCGAATCATTCTATGGTGAATTTTATTTTAGTGATATGTTGGAAATAACTTTAATGCTTTAGGCACCAATTGTAATATTAGATCGTGTCTATTGCTACAACATGAATTTTAACAGAAAGCGCCGAAATGATTTCTGTTCTGCACTTAAACATAAGTGTTTCTATCTGTTGATCCGGCAGCTGCTGCCAATGTTTTGTTCGTTTTATTGTGGTGCGGATAGTCTGATTTTTAATCAACTCTCCATCCAATTCCAAGATACTAACATGTTGAACTTGAAAAAACTTCTTGCAGGATGTCTTCAACCTACTGCCAAATCTAAATGTTGCTGAATTAGTTAAAGCATTTTCAGGTAAATTAGCTGGAATGCCATCTCTGTTTCAATAACAGAATCTCTACCACATTATGTTGTCTTTTAACCTTTTGAGTTTCGATTCAATTCCTTCTTGCAGTGAAGACGAATGATATGATGTTGGTCATATACCTATCTTCACTTATCCGAAGTGTAATTGCTCTCCATAACTTGATCAACAACAAGGTACATTTTAATCTGTAGTTTCACTTGTTTGTTTGTCATCATTTTTAGAAAAAGAATCTGTTGTGCAAAGATTAACACTGATCTAAATGAGTGTTTATGACTTGTAAATAAATAAAAAAGAGAAAGAGAGAGAGAGAGTTCCAGCGACTAGTTCAGTTTGTCAGTGGCACGGCTTTTAGTTTCCACAACCAAGCATATGGTTAGAAACGGATGCAACTGTCAATCTTTCACTGAGTCGTAGCTTCTGCTATTTTCCTGCTTGTACCTAGAATGTTGATGTTGTTTCCTGCTGCATTTTAGAGCATCTTATATTGTACATCAAGTGCTTTATCTATTTTCTATAGTAACTGAGGCTTGTGGTATCCATTTCAGATGCTTAACAAGGAACATGAAAAGGCTGAGGATTCAAAGCCTCTTGCAGTGCCAACTGCAGCTGGAAGCTAAGCACTCAGTCCCCCTTCTTCCCCCTTTTGGTCATTCACTGCACAACACTTGTAGCTTGTTGCAATTGGAACCTGAATCTGCCTTGTGACAATCTTGCACGTGGAGGAAATCTCTTATGTTTTAGCATGTCTTCCGTTAGCATTGTTCCTCCAGATTTTAGATTTAGATCGACTGACAGAGAACATATATTTTTCTTTGTATTAACTGATCAAACTTCGTCCCTTGTTTCTTTTTCCAAATTCAGTTAAAAAAACAGGCTCAACTACATGGTGTGTCGTGTATGAATTAATCGCTTGGTACCTAAAATAGATGAATGTGACTTCTTATTTCTTAATTGCACTCTCAGCGGGTGTTTTGGTGTTTTAGAGTGGCAAATGCCTATTTGCTACTTGTATGTATAGAGAGTTCTTCCGTGCATCAAGTCTCCCCGAGATTGCCGGAAATTGTTTCCCGAAAAAGGAAGAGTTTTCATTCGATAAAATTATGTTTTTCACTTGGAGAAGTAGATGCAAGGTCTTTATTTTGACAGTTGGCTCTACAAATCATATGCCTATTTGAGCTCAATTCACCATTTCGAACCTTTAGTAAGGCTTTTTATACTCCTCCCTTTATCTGAGGTATTGGAGGAGTGGAGTATTCGAGGAGTGAGCGTATATTGCAGACTGAGCATATGTTGTAGGCGTTCTTCTGCTTGCATTTTTTAGGACAAAAGTGGTATTTCCGTAGTGAACCAAAAGCTATGGAACAACTTAGGTGTGGTGCTTTTGTAGAAATGGAGCTTTTTATCCTTTTTATTAACCGTCGTGAATGGAGAGATCATTACACATGGTATGCTTGATCTGTGTTACGGAGTTTTTTTTTTTGCTTTATGCCCATAGTGTCCTTGAGCCTAGGGTCTTCGGAAACAGCCTCTCTACCTTCACGAGGTAGAGATAAGATCTACGTGTACACTACACTCCCCAAAATCCACTTGTGGGATTATACTTGGGTATATTGTTGTTGTTGCTTTACGCCCATAACCTAAATAAAAAAGCCTTCTTTGTCTTTAATATTTGTACGGTCGGCAATTGTGACCTCTCAAAAGAATTGATGATTGCATAAAAAATCAGTGCTAATATATCTAAGACTCCTCAATTGACATTGTTAGCGACTTCTCGAGAGAATTGATGACTGCATAAAAATCCAGTGTTTCTACATCTTTGGCTAGTTGTAGCACAAGATTATCTTGGACATAGGCCGATGCTTTCATGGTGAATTTTCAATTTTCGACAGAACGTGAAAAATGAGAAAAATTGCAACAAAAATAAAGACGAGTAACCTACTTTTAATAGGCAAAGCGAGCTCCTTTACTTAGAATCAAACTCCCACCCAACGTGTGCGCTCATCTGTGCGTTTCACATCTTAATCATCCTTAAGTATATGCTCCAAAATCCAAATTTTGTGGTCAATGCTCCCTGCAAATTCTGGCTGTTGTAGCTCTCTTGTAACGAATTCATTACTATGCTGGTAGCTCCCCTCATCCCCCAATAAGATTTTAACAAAAAGAACTAAAAATCACAGATATTAAAGGAGAGAAATTCAAAAATAGCCAGATTTACAAGTGGTCGTTAAAAAATAGCCACAGTTTCAAAAGTAATCGAAATTTAGCCACTTTTCATGTAAAGATAAATCTGAATGAAAACACTGTTCAAAATCCAAAAAAATATTCCAGTATAATATACTGGAGTTCCGGTATATTATACTGGAACTCCAGTCTAATATAAGAGTTCGGTGCACCTGTGTATGAATTTCCAGCATATTATGCTGGACCGGTATACTTTGCTGACTCCAGTATAATATACCGGAGCACCAGTGCTCCAAGCTCCAGTATATTATGTTGGACCGGTACTGGAGTTCCAGCATAATATACCGGTCCAGCATAATATACCGGAGTTTGGAGCACCGGTGCTCTAGTATATTATACTGGAGCCATCAAAGTATATCGGTCCAGCATAATATGCTGGAAATTCATACACAGGTGCACCAAACTCTAGTATATCATGCTAGACCAGTCTCTGTTGCAGCAAAATAGTGGCTATTTTTCAATAACCTGGCAAACACTAGCTATTTTTGAATGACTAGCTCGAAAACTGGCTAGACCGTGCTATTTTAACGTATTAAAGGCTTATAGAAGTTGAAACTGAAGAACTGCATTCTCCCTATATTCAATTTAATTACTAACCTACTTAGCTTGCAGCCTCATCAATACGCCTTCATTGACCATGTTTAATCAGGAAATCAACTTTCTTATATATCCATTGATCCAATTACTCCTTACATTACCCAATTCAGCCTCTTACCTCTGACTTTATAACTTTTGACTGATCATGCTCATCTTGCACCAATCAATTAAATAATCCTCAAACTATTAAGCGGTTGACATATAACTCATTTGTATCCATCCCACTCTTTCTAGACCCGCTTTATTCTCAAAGACAGACATTCTGCTATTGTATTAGAATTGTCTAACAACCCCCTTGCATCAGCTATTAATGGAGCACGATATCTCGATATGTAGGTATATCTATACAGTTTACACTGTTATCGAAATAGAAGATCAGGCTATCAGCAAAATGCTAAAAAAGTTACCGGTATTAAATTTTAGGGCAAGACCATCATTCACAAGCACTCATATGCTGCATCTTAGAAGCAACCCAAAAATGTCTTTTAACAATGAATAAATGTAGAACAGAGCATGAACATATAGCATCACATACAGAAAAGAAACCACATAGTAAATGCACTCATCACACAATGTTAAGGTAACTCCAGCACGGAGGGAAGAAGGAAAAAAATGATATAGGTAGAAACATCCAACAACATTCAATCATCTCAAATATTATTCGTTACAAACTTCCTAAAAGATACAGCAGTACAAGCTACTCTTTCTGATATTTCAGGTGCCAGGGCGCCTCGGTCAGTTGCCAAGAAAGGTGATGTCTTCCTTGCTACCACTTGACTCAATTTACGTAATGAAGGAAAGAAAAGAGTAATATAAGTTTCTCTATCACTTATCTTTGGTGGAAACACCGTACTTCTCCTGAAGCTTCTGTAACTCTTCCTCCTTCTTCTTCTGGTCAAATTTCTTACTCATCTTCGCTTGCTGGTAATACAGAACTATCAAGTATCTGCCCAATAACAAAAACACCAAATATACATCAGATAAGTATGTCAGTAGAAAAAAAGAGAAACTCTAGTGTTAAAGAAGCCCTAATTTTCTTGAAAAAGAAGTCCAAGTATAAACATCTATTATCCGAAAGCACTAGCCTGACTAATCCATATTTGCGTCCGTAGGGCCCACTAAAGGGGGAAGCACTCCCTACCACTAGTTTCTCCATTCCTAGGGCTCGAAGAACTCTGGTTTAGGGTGAAATCTCTTATCCATCCCACCATAACCCTTGATGGTAGCAAGAATGGATACACATTCATATGACTGATCCTAACTAGTTTAGAACTGAAACCAATTATACGTCAAAATAAATAGGTCTGTACCTCTAGTTATAGAGAACTCCTGATCTCTATTAAATTATTGAAATAAAAGCTAGTCAAAATTGAGCACAATGGAAATTAGTATTCATATAGCAGACTCCATCTAGTTCGCCTAGTTGTTGTAATTGTCAAACACTTTTTCTAACTATGAATTCTACATACACAGTTTAGATAGTTTTAATTATAGAAAAATTACTAGTGCAAACTTTATTTTACAATAAACTAGCTATGTCTGACATGGGAAAAAAAATGATATAAGATGAGGGAGAGAGCGGGAAAAAACCCTAAGTGACAGTCATCCAATCACATTGAAGCAAATAAAATTAACACAAGTGAGATAGACAACAAGAGGTTTTTACCGATTAGCGACATTGAAGCCGGAGAGGTGGTCGACGGCGGTTTTAGCATCGTAAATATCCTCGTAGACGATGAAAGCAGTACCACGGGTATCCTTGTTTGTGCCGATGCGAATCTGCCTAATAGCACCGTACTTGCCGAATATATCGTACATCTCCTCGCTCGTTATGTTGAACGGAAGGTTCCGAACATATAGCACCCTGTTCACCTCCGGGGGTAGCCGGGTATTTCCCTTTCTGAGACTTATCGCCGCCATTTTTTCGCCGGAAAAAAATTGAGAATTTTAGCTTTTTAGGCGTTTACCTAGATTTATATGGGGGTTATTTAATTTGGTTTTTGTAAGGAAAAGGAGAAAATGGCAAAAACGTCCATAAAGTATGGAGTAGGTCTAAAATAGTCCCTTAAACATATTTCTAAGCAAATTCAGGTCTTTTAATATGTTATAAAAGTGAATATTTTTGGACTCCGTCAAACATTAATAAATTCTGATTATTAGATAAGATTTAATAGAAACTGTGAAAGAAAAATTAAAAGACTATATGTACGTAAATAATTACTCCCTCCGTCTCAAATTATCTGTCGTATTTTATATAGGGTAAAATATGTTTATATTAAATGATCGCATGAGGAAGTAACAAGTGGAGCCGAAGATAGTTGAATCCGAAGGCAACGATCCTGAGAAAATGATACTCATAAAGATGAATAAATGCTTGTCACCCAGTAGCGTTTAGTGAGAAATATTCTACAGCATTAAGTACATGGTCCGTTACAAGGAATATGGCATTAAATGCCTGCCGTTACACGTTCTTCAATAACCCTCATAATTGATATTAAAGAGGGGCTTGATCCTAGGACATTGTTCCTTACGTACAACTATAAATAGTAAGCTCTATTATCATTGAAGGGACATGAATTTTCTGAGAAACATACGCTACACTCTATTTAAAGCTTAATATAGTTTTATCTTTTTGTTTACTGATATCGTTGCTATTGTCCTCGGAAGCCCTGTTCCCGGTGTTGTTATTTCTACTATTTTATCTCCATTTCAAGGCTAAATATTATATTTTTGTCCAATTCATCCATTATATTAGGGTCAAATTAATTCTCTTGTCTATAAACCACGTATAAATTCAACTATACTGTTTTACGGGTAAACAGTTTGGCGCTCACCGTTGGGCTAGACAGTTGTGTAATTAAGTTGGTCCTTGCCTCTTTTACTAACACATTTGATTATTTGTTCGTAGCAAAAAAACATAGAAAATGACAGATAATGATGTCAACAACACACATAACCTTAAGACCCAAGGAAATCAGCCTCAGCACAAGAATTCAATTAGTGAAACCCGCAGTGAGCAGGATGAGGCCACGCTGGTCCACGGCAGGTGGTACTCGCGACATGTGTGAGAAGCGATTGCTGACGATGCTAAAAAAGAGCACGTCGTCGAAGCG